TTGATTGATTGATTGATTGATTGATTGATTGATTGATTGATTGATTGATTGGTTGGTTGATTGGATGGTTTATTAATTGGTTTATTTATTGATTGGTTGATTGATTGATTGATTGATTGTTTGATTGATTTATGGTTGATTGGTTCATTGATTGATTGATTGGTTGATTGGCTGATTGATTGATTAATTTGTTTATTGATTGATTGATTGATTGATTGATTGATTAGTTTGTTGGTTGATTGGTTGGTTGATTGATTGGTTTATTGATTGATTGATTGATTGATTGATTGATTGATTGATTGATTGGTTGATTGATTGGTTTGTTGATTGGTTGATTGGTTAATTGGTTAATTGGTTGATTGATTGATTGATTGATTGATTGATTGATTGATTGATTGATTGATTGATTGATTGGTTGATCGGTTGATTGATTGATTGATTGATTGATTTATTGATGGGTTGATTGATTGATTGGTTGATTGATTGATTGATTGATTGATTTATTGATGGGTTGATTGATTGATTGATTGATTGATTGATTGATTGATTGATTGATTGATTGATTGATTGATTGATTGATTGACTGACTGGCTGACTGAATGGTTAGTTGGTTTATTCATTGATTGATTCATCGACTGACTGACTGAATGGTTAGTTGGTTGATTGATTGATTGGTTGATTGATTGATTGATTGGTTGATTGCCTGATTGATTGATTGACTGTATGGTTAGTTGGTTGATTGATTGATTGATTGATTGATTGATTGATTGATTGATTGATTGATTGATTGATTGATTGATTGATTGGTTGGTCAGTAGCTGGGTGACCGTTACCTTTGGCTCTGAGTCGGTACACAGACACCAGGAGGAGGGTGGAGATGAAGTAGGGGCAGAACACCAGCAGGCGGAGGAGCAGCATGAGCCCAAGGTGGGGGGGGGAGGAGTCAGGGGGCGGGGCTCCAGATGTGGGCGGGGCTAAAGGTGAGGTTGGAAGTTTCCCTGCAGAGAGAACCCACCTGGTCAGGTGACTGTGGGAGAAATTGGAGCTGAACTGAGGTCAGCTGCTCACCTGTGACCCGGACCCGGCTGGAGGGGGACCTGTCCCCCCCGATGGAGCAGCTGTAGAGGCCTTCATCAGACCTGCTAACAGGCCGGAGGGTCATGTGACCTGTAGGCTCCGTCCTGATGAGGGAGCCATCTTTATAGAATAAAGCAGCTGTGGGGCTGGAGGGGGGGGGGTCTGCTGTACAGCTCAGAGTGAGTTCCCCCCCCTCCATCACAGGGAGGACAGGACTCTGCAGGATCACTGGTCCACCTCAACACAGAGACAGACTACAGCA